CCTGGGCCGCATAGGATCCTGGGACCCTTTTCATCTCCAAGCCTGATCAGCTGCCTTCACGGCGGGAGGCGCCCACATCCAGCCTGGAGACACTTCCTTTTGCCAGCTGCCAGGAGAACTAGTGGAAACATTTAATGGGAACCTCACCGCTTTTCCACTAGACACATTCAGATAGGTTTTTAAGCACCCCGAAATAGATATGCCAAATGAGTTGCCTGTCAGAGGCTGAAGAGCAAAAAGTCTTTGTACTTCTCCCATCCACCTTTTGATGTGGCCTGGGGCCCCACAGACCAGCACCAGGACCTGCCGCCAAGGCCACAGGGCTGCTGGCTGTCCACAAGCGCTTTTCTATCGCATACTGAAAGCGGTCACAGTGTCTGGTAATGAAGAGGATCATGGAGTTGGGGTGCGCTTGACTGTGGTTAATGCATCAGGGGTGTGGGAGGAGGAAAGGGGCAGAGATTGTATGCAATGAAGTGGTTTCTCTTGTTTAAAGGCAGTTTTATGGTGTGATGCACATATTACTATTTTGCATTAAATTAACTTTATTTTTAAAGCATATTTTGATTTACCATCAAGAGCAATAAAGCATGAAATCTTAAAAACAAAAAAGGAAAGAAAAAGAAAAATAATCTAAAAAAAGGAAAGGGTTTTTAAATAGCCATTTCTTGTTTGTTTGTTTGTTTGTTTAGGGTCTTGCTATGTAGTTCAGGCTGGCCTTGAACTCACTATGTGGCCCAGGATGACCTCAAACTTGTGGCGATCCTCCTGCCTCAGCCTCCCAAGTGCTGGGATTACAGGCGTGCGCCACCACACCCACCTAAATAGCCATTTCTTTAAAGTCAGTACACAAATGATCAGTGAACACATGAAAAGATGCCCAACATCATGGACATTTGGGAAATGAAAATCAAGATCACAAGGTACCATTTCATTCTCACTAGATGGCAATAATAAAAAAAGACACGATAGCAAGTGTTGGTGATGACACAGAGAAATTATAACTAATATTCCAAATGATGCAGCCATTTTGGAAAACAACTTAGTACTTCCTAGAAAAGTTAAACATATGATTAACATATGTTCCAGCAAGTCTACCTCTAGGCACTGTCTATAAACAAGATAAATGGAAACATAGAAACTTGTACATCAGTGTTCACAGCATCATTCACAACAGCTAAAAAGTTGAAATAATCCAAACATCCACCATGGACGAATAAACAAAATGTGGCCCACTTGTACAATGGAGTTTTACTTGCCAATAAAAAATAGAGGCCTTATACATGATAACAACACGAATGGACCTTGAAGACACCATGCTTAATAGGGATATTAAGGAAGCACCAGTGGGGCAATGGCTACTCATGTTTATAGTGTTTCTTTGAGTGCTAGAAATATCCCATAGACTGGTGAAACTTGCACACTGTGAATACGTTATCTGTAATCACGGAACTGTACACAAAGTAAACACCTGGATTTTCTGGTGTGTGAAATATCTGAATGAAACAATTTAAAAAATAGCATTTTAGTTTTAGAAACAATGTGGGGAAATTTCAACAATACCTGTTGTAAGGACAGGAGTTTACTGTTAATTTTGTTGGGAATGAGCGTAGTATCGTGGTATGGGTTTATAACTCATTTCCTGTAGATGGAAAATGCTCTTCAGAGAGATCTGTGATGTGCAGATCTCCACCTTTCTGCTGGTGCTTCCATCTCCCTGGGGAAGACCAGAGGCCAAATATCTTTTTTTGCGGGGACAGGGCCTCACTATGTAGTTGAGACTGACCTGGAACTCACTATGTAGCCCAGGCTGGTCTCGAACTCCCAGCAATTCTCCTGCCTCAGCCTCCCGAGTGCTGGGATTACAGGTGTGCGCCACCATGTCCGGCTGAGACCAAATATCTTGAGCAAGAACTCCCTACCCCAACACAGAGAAGTATCAGGCAGGGTCTGGAAAACATAGCAGAACCTAGGGGGCTGCTCTATGGGCAAGAGCTACACACAAAGGGAGAAAGGCTCTTTTCTTTTCTCGCTGTGGGCTGCTGCGAACAGGCTAGTGCAAGTCAGCAGGTCAGAGTCTCACGCTGAGGCTTGGTGGACCATACAAGGCAAGGAGGACAGGGGAACCCTACTTCTGAATACAGTTCCTAGGGGCTTTCACCCAGGCCATGAGACCATGTCGGGAGGTGAGGCTTTTGCAAAACCAGGCTGTAAGGCAAGAAAGCATCATAGACCTTTTGGAAAGGAATAATGCTCATAGTAGCGATTTTGTCACGTTTCTTTCGAGGTCCACAGCTAAACAGGTATCAAAGACACTAAGGTTAGACAAGTATTGATCTGGTAATCCAAAGAGAGGAAACGTAATTAAAAGGGCCAGGAATATAGCTCGGTGCAAAGGCCCTTGGTTCAATCCCCAGGACCAACAGAAGGAAAGCAGGGGGAAGGGGCGGAGCCCAAGGAGGGTCCCTATGCCGACCCTTACAAGTCAGGGAAGCGGTGACGCAGAACTACATTTCTGCTCTAAAACATCCTCTTGGACTAAGCCGACTCAAGATAGATGTGCGGTAGGCTCAATCACGGGCCCCAAATATATCCACATCCTGATCTCTGAAACCTGCAAAAGCTACCTTCTTGGCAAAGGGACTCTGCAGAGGTTATTTAGTATCTTGAGAGGAGGACGATTATTCTCAGGTGCCTGACATAATCGTAACAACCTTTGTAAGAGGAAGGCAGGAGAGCCAGGGTCAGAGAAGGTGAAAAGACCCAAGGGTGGAGGGACATATTTTGAAGGAGGAGAAGGGGCCCAAGAGGCAAACAATGTAGGTCACTAGCAGACACTAAAAAAAATCAAGCAATCAGATTCATCTCACAGAGCCTCCAGACAGAATCAGCCCTGCCCGCAGCTTAATCTCAGCTCAGTGAAACTGACTTTGGGTTTCTGATCTCCGAAACCTTAAGAGATGTTTGTGCTGTTTCGGGTCATTTGTCATAGCACTGGCTTGGGATTTAGCTCAGGGGTGCCACCACATGCCTCGTGAGCACAAGGTCCTGAGTTTGATCCCCAGTACCAACAACAACAACAACAACAACAACAACAACAACAACAACAACGTCATAGCATCAACAGGAAACTCACACGGACGTAACTAAGACTCAGAAGTTACTCAGAGATGATGGTGAAATTGGCCTGGTAAAAGGGGAAGGGTTGGGGAGAACAGTGAGAGAGAGGCATTGACCAGTGTCAGGCTAAAGCATGGAGTAAGATGAGGGCAGGCTGAATACTGAAGATCAAATGTGCCCATGGATTTTCACAGTAGTTGGGGAACAGACCTTTGTTTAGACCCACCAGGGACACCACATGCTAGGAAGGCCCATGGACTCTCAGTAAACCTCTGCCCAAAAGACAGGCGCTGCCTGTGAATCTGACATTCACTAGGGTCTCTGAATTCAGCCAGAAGTGGTCCTGAGGTCAGGGGCCTCAACCACTCAAGTCCTGAACATCTATTTCTCTTGGGTGGAGCATGGGCCAAGTCCAAAAGCTGAAATGATGTAGAACACACTGTCTGGAACTGCTAAGTTGTAGGAGCTTCCCGATCCCAGTACCACTGGCGGGCCGGATGACCGCTGTAGGTGCTGCCCTGTGTACTGCAGGACCTCTAGCAGCATCCACCCACCAGAGGCCGGGACCAGTCCTAACAACCCAAGATGCTTCCAAGCATTAAACCACTGCCAGGTTGATCTCCAGGCAGGAATGCTGAGCCATGGCTACCGAAGTCGGCTTAGATCTTCAAGCATGCAGCTCTGGTAAGATGCATGGAGGACAGCATGGTGAAGAGCAGGAACTAAAGGCAAAAGGGAGATTGTGTGCCAAGGCCCTGAGTCCCTTGGCAGTGAGGAGGAATGTGGATTTCGGGGGATGCAACACAGGCTTGCAGTCATGCGGGGACCGGCAGAGACTCCACAGCGCAGGTGTTTAGCAGGAATGCTACCTGCTCCTATTTCTGCACAAGGTGCACCCATCTCCAGAAGTTTCCCCTCACCCGACAAATGGGCCAGCTTGCCCAGGGTGATCTAGAATGGTACACCGATCGGGTCTCAATTCCTACGCTGAGAAATAAGGTGAGTGCACCTACATGATCTCCCAGGCCTAGGTCTCAGACGCTGATGTTTTATATAAATATATTTTGTCACTCTAAAAAGATGCTTTTGAAGAACACTTTACATATCATAAAATTAACCCATTTCAATGATTTTTAGTAGAGTCGATGGGTTCTGCAACCATCCCTGTAATCTATATTTCAACACTGTCATCATTCCAATCATTTTGTTACACTTGAAGCCAATGTTCTAGGTGAGAGAGGAGAGCAGGTACAATTCTTACATCCCAAGGGGAGCCTCACCACTACTGTTCCTCACTGTAGCTTTTCCCTGTCTTGTACCAGGTTGTGGTACCTCATGGCTTCTCTTTTTATAAATCCAAAAGTTCTTTGATATAGAAGGATCTCTCAAATACAACTTGCTTTTTCTTTACAACACTGAAGATCAAATCCAGGGCTGTGCTACTGAGCTACACCCACAGCTGTCTTTTAATTTTTTGAGAAAAGTTTTTGCTAATTCACCCAGGATGACACCTGGCACTTTTTGTTTGTTTTTTTGAGACAGGGTCTCACTATGTAGTGGAGACTGACCTGGAACTCACTATGTAGCCCAGGCTGGCCTCCCAACTCACAGAAATCCTCCTGCCTCGGCCTCCTGAGTGCTGGGATTACAGGTGTGCACCACCACCCTTGGCTCCTTTTTTGGTTTTTGATAAAGAAGTGTCCATTTATTTGGCAACCTCTCCTCATATCAATGTAAACATGTTCTCATTTGATTTTTCCTTTGTTATGAAGATCTAGGAATTTTAAAGAGTATTAGAGACCTATTTTCCAATGATTTGTTTTGTTTTTTGAAACAAGATCTCACTACGTAGTTCAGGCTGGCCTTGAACTCTCTATGTAGCCCAAGCTGGCCTCAAACATGCAGTGATCCTCCTGCCTCAGCCTCCCGAGTACTGGGGTTATAGGCAGGCACTACTACACTGTTTTCCAATGAATACTGACTTGAAGTTATGGTAAAATGCTGAAGTGTGTACACACAAGAAACTTGTGTGAAATGACAGCAAATGCATAACTATATGGTTTGACATATTTTAGAGTATATAAAACAACAGATGGGGTAACAGGAAGGGGCCACCTACTTAGTCATCCTGATTGTCCCTCTACTGTCACTCCCACCTCCCGCAGAGACTGCAGTCCTCTTTATCCCAACACCTGGACTTGTCATCTCTTTACCCTGTCACCGTGTGCTACCGGGCCCCGATCAGCCTACCGTGGGGCTCCCTCACTGGCTCCATGTGCCCCATTATCCCCCAAGGCTGCTTGCTCTCCTTGCAAGTCACCAGTCAATCTGCGATTTCCACGCACGTAGTAGGAGGAGAAACACAAAGCCTTTCCTCATGACTGCAAAGCACGTGGTGGCTTCAGTCCCCATGGTGAAGCCGGTGGTGCTGATGAAGGTTGGAGCTCTGCCGAAAGCTTTTCCCACACCGGCTGCACTGGTACGGCTTCTCGCCGGTGTGGATCCTCTGGTGCAGCTTCAGGGTGGACTGCCGCCCGAAGCAGTTCCCACACTCCCCACAGGCGTAGGGCCGCTCTCCCGTGTGTACCCTCTTGTGTCGTTTCAGCTCCGAATTCCACGTGAAGCTTTTCCCACAGTCATCACACTTGTAAGGTTTCTTGGCAGAGCGGGTGGTCTGGTGACCCAGCCGCTGCAAATGACTGTTCAGGCCTCTTTTCCCACCTTTGTTTTTCCTCAGCCCCCTCAGTGGGTGGCCTTTTGGGGGGCTGCTGATGTACTCCAGTTCCCTGCAATGTCTCTGGTAGTGAGCAAATGGCTTCTGAGCGTTTGGGGGGCTGACCTGCCTCCGTGGCAACCGGGGCTCACACACGTTTGCCCCTCTCACTTCTGGGCTCTGCAGACCATTCCCTGTGGCTCTGTCAGCGGGCACTGCACATGGCTTTGCTCCTTTGGCCCCTTCCTGCTGTGGATTTTCCTTGTTGTCCCTTCTTATTCTGGGGGCCTCTATAATTAGAAAGAATATGCTTTATTTTCTATACTCAGAAGAAAGAACTTCAGCAAAAACATTAAGAAATACCTGTGAGGTTTCTCAGCACATGACCCTCCACCAGAAATGTGCATGACATCCCTCGGGGCACTTGGTAATATACCGCACCCACCACCACCATTCCCCCAAGGTGCTGAATCAGAATCTCTAGCTCCTGAGTTGTTACTAATTTATATTAAGGTTGGGAACAAAGTTCTCCAAACCCTTCCCTCCTTCTTGTCTTTAGGAAAAGGTCCCTTTTCCTCTTTACCTGATTCATCAGAACTGAGTATCAACTAATGAATGAAAAAAAAAAAGAATGAATAAATGAATGACTGAATTAATTTATTGGTAGGGTCTCACTATCTTGACCCTGGGTGACTTCAAACTCCTGGGTTCAAATGACCCTCCTGCCTCAGCCTCCTGAGTTGCTGGAACTACAGTTTATAGATGTGTACCACTGCACCTGGCTAAGAGTAGGCAAAAATTTTGTGTGTGATGCTGGAGACTAAACCCTGGGCCTTATGCATGCTAGGCAAGCACTCTACAGTGTATTGAGCTACATTTTAATTTTAAGTTGTTGTTGTTGTTCTTGTTATTGTTTTTTTGGAGATCGGATCTCACTATATCCCCCAGGGTGGCCTTGAACTTGCTAGGTTGCTCAGGCTGGACTTGTGATCCTCCTGGTTCAGCTTACCAAATTCTGGGATTACAGGCATAAGTATCACATCTGGCTTTTTTATTCTGAGATGGGGTTTTGCTAAACTGCCCAGGCTGACCTCAGACTTGTGATCCTCCTGCTTCAGCTTCCAAGTAGCTGGACCAGAGGTGTGCCCCACCATGCCTAGTTGAAAGAACTGAAATTTGACACTACAAACAACTACTTCAACAAATAACCCTCATTTATATGGAATTTGATCAACAACTCCCTTCTTTCCAAAAGATCGAGTGACTCATGGTTTTTCTCATTCAAAGGTGATGGGTGTATCTGTTTAGAAACTGAAATGTAGCCTACACATGTATATTAATTACAGAAATTCCCTACCTTCTGATGGCCAGGATGAGGATACCATCAAACTGAGCTGGAATAGCTCATGGGAAGCTGGAAGATCTGAAGCTTTAAGACTGTCTTTGAGGTGAAAAATTTGTGTGTGTACTGTCTACTGTGGAAAATACGACATGGCTGGCGAGCTCTGAAACGTGGCTAGAAAACATGCTGGGGAACTGAATTTTTTATTTTAATTAATTGTAATTCAAATTTAAATCCAGGCATGCTGGTTCATCCCTGTAATCCCAGTACTCGGAAGGCTGAGTCAGAAGGGTTGCTGTGAGCTCACCGCCAGTCTGAAATACAGAGTGAGTTCAAGACCAGCTTGAACTATATTGCAAGACCCTGCCTAAAAAAAAAAAAACAAAACAAAGCAAAAAGAAAGAAATTCAAATTTAAATTTAAATGAGCACCCAGAACAAGTATAGTCAATCGATTTTAATTAAGGTTCTTGAAATAAAATACGAAGACAGAATCATTTTTTCATGAAATGACATAGGGAGCCACGGATTTAGCTCAGTGGTTCCACCACTTGCCTTGCAAGCGTAAGGTTCCGAGTTTGATCCCTGGCACCAAAAATAAATAAAAATAAATAAATAAATAAATAAATAAATAAATAAACAAACGCCGTTGGGACCTGTGAGTTTCTGTAAGAAAAAGAATGAAGGTGAATCCTACTATGGACTGAATGCTTGTGTCTCTCCCCAAATTCACAAGTTGACAATCCCTAGTCAAGTTGTACTGTCAAGTGGGATATCTGGGAAGTGATTAGGTCATGAAGATGGATTAGTGCCCTCATTTTAAAAACAAAGCCAGAGAGAACTGTTTGCCCCTTTGGTTTTTCAGCCATGCGGACTTAGCAGGTATTATTTATGATACCCCCCCCACACACATATACACATGTACAATATGGTTGGCACCTAGATGTTTAACCTTGGACTTCTCAGCCTCTGGAACTGTCTACAATAAATTTCTGTTGTTTATAAATTACCCAGTCTAACTGGGTGTGGCAATGCTTGCCTGTAATCTCAGCATCCAGGAGGCTGAGGCAGAAGAATCACTGTGAGTTCAACATCAGCCTGTGATACATAGCAAGTTCAAGGCCAGCCTGAAGTACATAGTGAGACACTGTCTCAAAAAACAACAACAACAAAAAACTCAGTCTAAGTGACTTCATTTCTTTGCTTGTTTTTTGGTACTGGGGATTGAACTCGGGACCTTGTGCTTGTGAGGCAGGGGAGGCACCACTGAGCTAAATCTCCAGCCATGGGGACTTTGTTATAGTAGCTTTGATGGACTAAAACAAACCCCTACTTCACAGCACATATGAAATTAACTCAAAATGAACCAAACATCTAAATATAAGAGGTAAGTCTATGTCTCTTTGAAAAACAATTCTATAAATAGTATTTTAGATATGACATTACACCAAAAGCACAAGCAAATAAAAAATAAATTAAGACAAAAAGCTGGGAGTGGTGGCTCACGCCTGTAATCCCCGCACTCAGGAGGCTGAGGCTGGAGGATTGCTGTGAGTTTGAGACCAGCCTGGGCTACATAGTGAGTTCCAGGTCAGTCTCCACCACATAGTGAGACCCGGTCTCAAAAAACAAAACAAAACAAAAATTAAGACTGTATCAAAATTAAAAACATTTGGGCTTCAGAAGATACCATTAAGAAACTGAAATGACAACACATAGAATGGGAGAAAACATTTGCGAGTTATACGTAAAGTCTAGTATCTAGAACACATAAAGAACTCCTAAAACTCAACAATAAAAAGACAAAAGCACCCACCCATTTGTAAAAGGGGCAAAAGATCTGAATGATATTTCTTCAAACAAGATATTCAATTAACTAACAAATATATGAAAGATGCTCTCAACATCATCACTCTTTTTTGGGGGGTACTGGGGATCGAACTCGGGTCCTTGCGCTTGTGAGGCAGGCCAAGGCACCACTGAGCTAAATCCCTGTCCAACATCATCACTCTTTAGGGTAAATGAACATCAAAACTTTCAGGGAAATAGGTAAATGTGGTATATATACATACAATGGAATACTTCTCCATCATAACGATGGATAAATTTGATCCATTTGTAGGAAAATGGATACATCTTGAGACCACAATGCTAAGTGAAATAAGCCAGACACGGAAGGTGAAATATTGCATGGTTTCTCGCATATGCAAAACTCAAAGTATAATTTAAAGGGCAAAATAAGATAAAGGTGATAGAAACAAAGAGGGAGATCTTTTGAGAAAGGGAGGGGGGTTTAGGTATGAAAGAAGAGGGAAGGGAAGGGAGGGGAACAAAAAATAAAAAGGGTTAAGATGCAATATATATCCCCAATACCAAAAAAAAAAAAAGATGCAATACGTATATTGACCAACTCCTCATGATGAATGTACTCATTATCTGTCACTTATATGTACTAATAACACACACACAAAATAAATTTTAAAAGCCACCCTAAGGGGTTACCACACCACACCCAAGAGGATGGCTGTAATTTTAAAAAGACTAACTTTAACAACTGCTGCAAAGAATGGGAAAGAATTAAAATCCTCCCTCTGTGGATGTAGGAATGTAAATGATACAGCTGCTTTGGAAAAAGGTCTAACGAAACACAGAGTTATCCATGGCCTAGCAGTTCCAACCCTAAGATATATGTAAAAGAAATGAAAACAAATGTCCATGCAAAACTTGTACGCAAATGTTCACAGCAACATTCCTGATAATAGACAAGCAGAAACAAAAGTCCATCAATTGATAAGTGAATAAACGAGGTAAGGCCTATCCATGCAAGGCATTATTATTTAGCCATAAAAAAAAGTGAAACACTGATTTATGCTACAACATGGATCAAACTTGACAACATTATGCCAAAGGGAAAGAGGCTAATCCAGAAAGTCACATATTGCGTAAGTCCATTTATATGAAGTGCCCCCAGAATAAGCAAATCCAGAGACAAAAAAAAAAAAAAAAAAAAAAAAGAAAGAAAGAAAAGAAAAGATTGGCAGCTGCCAGAGGGCTGTAAGAAGCGGTAAGTTGGGGAGTGATTTGTAATAGATACTGAGTTTCCTTCCGAGGTGATGAAAGGTTCTGGAATTAGATGGTGGTGATGGTAGTACAACTTTGTGACTAGATTAAGAACCACTGAACTGTGTACTTCAAAGTACACATGATTTGTGAGTTACATCTTTTTCTTTTTCTTTTTTTTCTTTTTTGGTACCACAGATAGAACTCGGGATGTGAGCTATGTCTTAACAGGAAAACTTCAATAGCCACAGCTGGTTAGTGATGTCTGTGTTGGACAGTGTAACGCAGAAGGCAGCAATGGTGGAGCTACAGGGTGAGCAGCAGGGATTCTACCCTCCTGGGGGTCTAAGAAAGGAGACAAGAGACAGCAGCTGCATACCTGCTGCCTCTCCTGAGGTAGGAGAAGGGAGTGTGTGATCCTCTCTCCAGGACCTCAAAGGTCTAAGATTACAGGGCAAGAACTCAGCCAGGGCCGCAAGCTTTGCTACTGTATACTTCAGGTCTCACACAGAAAAGTTGGCAGACCCAGAAGAGAACCCTCCAACCATGCTGATGCCTTGATCTTAGACTCCAGCTTTCAGAACTGTGAGAAATAAGTTTCACTTGTTTCTAAGATACCCATTCTCTAGTATTAGAGCAGCTGGGTCAGTCTATGAAGCAGAGTGTCACAATTAATGTAGCAGCTGTTAAAGAGATAAGGCTCTAATTTGTAACTCTCTCTAGTCCGCTAACTCTTCACATCACCACAGGTGTCACCGTCAGTCAGCCAGTTTTAACAATCACAGAGCTGTGTAGAACAGGGCCAGAAATGACGCTGGTGGTGTACGAGACAAAAAAACAGACACGAGGGTTCAAAGCACAACGTCAGAGAGGAGGAAGAGAAGGCAGAATGGGACTTTTTCTCTACTACAAAACATTCTTTCAGCCCTTCTAAACATGAGATCACTTTAAGTAATAAAACTTAGTCAAAGCTTGCACAGAAGTTCACCAGTGCTTAGCCTTGGTTCTGTCTCTATTATAAGAAGTTCTAAAAGGTCAGAGAAGTAGGCACTAGAAAAATCCTATCATGCTTTGGCTTGTCAAATATTCATTAACATAAAATAATATAACCATACTCATTTATAGTATCATTGCCATTGTAAGTAGTGAAAAGTTTTAGGGAATAAACATCTAGTATTACATAAAACATTAAGAAGGCAGACATGCATGTGCACACACACACACACACACACACACACACACACACAAACACATATTGATGGTCTAAGTCTTTGCAGAACCGTGAGATATTTTGATGAAGATAAGAGCTGAGAAGGCAATGTATTTACCTGTCCCAGATAGCTTGGGGGCTGGTTCTTGGAGAAGCTGGGATTTCTCCCAATGTTGGGGGCTCAGCTGCTCATGAGATTCTTCCTGGGAAGACTCCTCCAGGGAGCTCTCCCTGAGATCTCTCTTAGTTTGTGGCTGAAAGTCTGGCAGCTCCTGTTCTCCAAGCTGAGATCCAGTTTTCTCCAACAGCACCTTCTGCCCCTGCATACACACGGCCACCTGGGAACAAGCCCCATCCATTAACAAGCCATCTGCTAGGACCGACTGAGCCTAGACGAATCTGCTCACTGCTATGCAATGACCCTTTACTTTGGGAACTCCTGGATAATGACCTAAAGGTCAATTTGATATAGACCATTTAAAGCCTTGAAGGATGCCAAGGGAACTCTCACAGAATGACAGGAATAAGGCTGTTTCACACTAGCCAACACTTCCCAAGCGGCTTCCCCTTAAAGCTTGGGCCTTTCACAAAGCCTGGAGCCAAAGGCATCTGAGGACAGGTGACCCAAATACCAGAGGCCCATAAATTCCTACCCTATACCCCAGGTCTCTCTCGACTTCTCCCACAAACAGGCACCGTAGGAACAGGAAGCAGTACGGTAAGGGACCATTAAAAACCATTCTAAACCAGGCGTGGTAGTACACACCTATAATCCCAGCAGTCAGGAGCCTGAGGCAGGAGGATCACTTGGGCTACACAGTGCTTCAAGATCAGCCTGAACTACACAGCAAGACTCTGTCTCAACAAATAAAACAAAACAAAACTCCCCTCAAATTCTAATCTAATAAACTGTTATGCTAAAGGCTCTCCTGTCAGGGAGATCCAGTAGTGCCAAGGGGCTGGAAGGGTTGTCCCACCTGATCCCTGATCGCTTCCATTTTCCAAAGCTTATCTTGTTGGCTTCTTGTCTAGTCCCTGGCTGGGGTCCAACTCGAGGGTGGAGTGGGGAGGAACTGAGCTACTACTTCCTGATACAAAGACAACATGGCAGACACTTCATTGGAACATTTAAGTTCCCCCAAAGTAAAATTCTCATCTAACACAGATTCTGCCTGGTAAGAATTCTGACTGCAGGATAACTTCCAGGGAAATGAGTAGGGTAAGATCTGACAGCAGATTCAAAAACGTTAAAACCACTGGGGACACGAGGTCCGTGAGAGTAGGAGCTGTGATCCTCGGCTTCCTCACTAGAAGCCCTTAATTGGGTTTTCTAAAAACCTGTTACAACTAGAGAAGACCTCTCAGACAGGCTGGAAGCAATTTTTCAACGCCATCCAGTCCTTCTGGGCTTTAAGTAGGAAGGGATCCCGAGAAAAAAACTTTTTACCTAGATGGGAAAGAAATACTAGGGATCCCCAGAGAGGGTCCTTCTTACCCACTGCTTTGGTTTCTTGGCTGCTCTGTGAAAATCTTCCACCAGGGTCACAATCTCCTCGCTGCTCACCGGACAACGATGCCTGAACCGAGCCTGGATATCCGGGGGCAGGATGATCAGGAACTGCTCCATCACCAGGAGCTCTAAAATCTGCTCCTTGGTGTGCAGCTCAGGCTGCAGCCACTGCCGGCAGAGCTGTCGCAGCCGGGAGAGCGCCTCTTGGGGTCCAGACACCTCTTGGTAACAAAACTGCCTGAAGCTCTGGCGGCAGAGTTCAGGATCCGGGCAGTTTTTTGGCAGCGTGGGCTCCCGCTTCTCTTCTAGCTTTGTTATTATGTGTCTCTCTTGTCTGGAGGACGCCTGATCGTGGGAGCTCAAAGTTATCTCCATTTTAGCTGCCATCTTGGGGGCTCAGGAAGCAGTTTCTCTGTTTGGAAATTGGTCAAGCCTTCAGGAACATGACCTTGGAGAATTTTCTTTGAATGCCAGAAAGGCGGGAGAAACGAAGCTCCTCCGGGAAGTTAGGATGGATACAGACAGGACCTTCTCATTTGCTAGTCTTTACCCCAAACTCTGACGACAACAGTCCCTAGGCATAGGAGGAATTTGTTTTTCCGTCAGTTAAAACAAAAACAAAACAAAAAAACTATCTTGCAAAAGAGAAAAGATCTAATATTCCAAAAATGAACTGGAGAAATGTTTCGTTTATTTAGGTAATACGCACACACGATTTCACAAGAAATGAGCAGTACGATCTAATGGGCTGGAGGAGGAGTCCCCAGGAAAAGTTCAAGCTGCCTTACAGGTAGCTGGCACTAACTCTCCCGCACCGCGGCTGACAGTGACCTCAGGCATCTCGGTGGAATACATCATCTAGAGCGGGTTGGGGGTCGCGAGTGTGCGGTGCAGCCAGGTCCGCAGGCCCAGCTGGCCCCCGGCCTGGCGCAGCTGTTGGCAAACGGGCGCGGGTCTCCGTGGCGCAGCAGGTTCCGAGCTCCAGCGGACGCCTGCGACACTACAGTCCCAAGCTGCAAAGAGCAGCAGGACCACCGGCTGCCGACTCACCTCTCTGGGGACCCAGGACCCCAACCCGGGAGCAGGGCCGGGGGCGGGGCCGAAGCCGCAGGCCGCGGAGACGCCCACTGGCTACGAGAAACCACCCGCGGGAGGACCCGCCTCCACCCCCAAACGATTGGCTCCTTAGGAACATGCTTCGGTGTCTATTGGCTGATCGATCTGTCAATGGTACCGCAGTGCATCCCGAGAGTCGTAGTCCGGCATCTTGGACCAAGCATGCGCAGCGGTGGCCTCGCCGCAGAGGTCTCGTAGCTGATTTCCGGAGAGTTCGTGGGAGTCGGTGGTGCTAGGAGCCCGGCAACTGCATGCTGCTTTGATCCTTTTCCGACGTGCTTAGGCCAGCCCAGAGAAGGTCCCATGGCGCGGACTTCTTCCTCGACCCGGCAGGTTTTCCTGCTTCCTCTCCTGGTAGTCGGTACCTAATCCTAAACACCAACTCGCTGAGAACATGAACAATTCCCCATCTTTATTCTGTATTTCTCGGAGAGTTTGGACCATCGCCAGGAAGAAACAAATCTTAAGACCTGCATGTTAAAATTTAGCCATGAAGCCAGGTATGGTGACACATGCCTGTAATCCAAGCCCTGGAGGAGGCTGAGACAGGAGGATCTCTGAGTTAGAGGCCAGTCTGGGCTACATAGTGAATTCAAGGCCAGCATGGAACTACATGTAGGATCCTGTCTCAGAAAGCAAACAGAAAAGTTTAGCTAAGAATGGCATGTAAGGAATCAAGAGGCGAGCAGTATGAACTTGGGATGCCTTCTGTATGAACCTGGGATGTATGAACATGCAAGGCAAGGTTCCACTCCTGGCCTTGCTGCCTAGTAGCCATGTTATGTAATGCTAGGCAGTACACTTAATCCCTGTTTCTCCTGTTTTGCTAAAAAGAAATGCTGATAATAATGCCCTTGATCTCTCTTTCTCTAGCCCCCTTGTGGCACTGAAAGGCAGAGAATTTTATCATCCTAACCACTTTGTTACAGTTTAGCAGCATTAAGTATATTAACGTTGTTGTACAACCTGAATCCATTTTAATACCGCCTGGTAGTATTGCAGATAGCTAAATTAGAAGGCAGTTGGACAGGGATTGGGCCCCAAGCATAGAAAATGATTAAGGCACATTCAATTGAAGGTTAACATTAAAAAGAGAGAAACTACTACACCCACATACTCCTCCTAGGGATGAATAGCAGTGATCAATATTCTAAATAGCTGGGCGTGGTGGCGCATTCCTGTAATCCCAGCACTCTGGAGGCTGAGGCAGGAGGATCGCTGTGAGTTCGAGACCAGCCTGGGCTACAGAGTGAGTTCCAGTTCAGTCTCAACTACGCAGTGAGACCCTGTCTCAAACAAACAAACAAACAAATATATTCTAATTAAATCTCATTCGCCTTAGTTGAAGACCAAACCATCCCTAGCTAGCCCAACCTTCCTGGAAATCCATGTACTTTGCTTCCTGACTGGCTCCCCCATTTGATCCCCTCTTTAATCAATATTACCTGGGTGTACTGAGCATGTAAAACATAGGACTTTGTAACCCTACAAAAAAACAGAATTAAGCAAAATAAACTAAAGTGAAACCAAGTGAAATCTGACAGCCAGCTGACAGCCTGACAGCTGACTGTCAGATTTCACTTGGTTTCACTTTAGTTTATTTTGCTTAATTCTGTTTTTTTGTAGGGTTACAAAGTCCTATGTTTTACATGCTCAGTACACTGGGTGAACTGTACTTGTGATATTGATGAATCATGGTTTTGTCCCACCTCATGCCCACCTTGTGACTTTCCATTGGATCTTATAGTTTTGTCCCACTTTGTACCCATCTCACCTCATGGCTTTGCCCCATAAAACACCTTTGAGAAGTGAGTTGGGTGGGCAACCCACTTTCTGTCCTCCTTCTGTCTCTCTTAGACAGGAGCTATCTTTCTTTCAATAAATTTTTCCTACTCTTAACCTTTGTTCAGAATTCATTCTTTGATTTTACAGAACATGAATTTGGCATTTCTAGCAGGTTGGGAGTTATAAATATTTCCCTTGTTTGGATTATTTTGCTCTTTTGGATCACTTGGTACCCTGTATCAGTGGGCGTATATAAACTCCTCCATAAAATCTACAGGGGATACGGTCTTGCCCCTTGGGATTGTGTGTGATTTAATCTGTTGTAATTGAAACCCAACTCAAACTAGTTTAAAAATACCGCTTTATGGAAACTGGCCTTGCATATCTCAGCATGTTGCAGGACTATCTGGTGTATTGGTCTCCTTTAATCAGTTCACCCCTGTGATGGAGGAAAGAAACAGTGATAATGACAGTTGCACAGAGCTGCAGTCTTAGTTGCCTACTTAGTAATTCCCAGGAAACTCAAAACTGTCCCCACCCCTCCAGTACATAAAATTTTAAGTATGTGTGAGCAAGGCGGGGTGGCACACTCCTGTAATCCCAGCATTTGGGAGGCTGAGGCAGGAGGATCGCTGTGAGTTCGAGACCAGGCTGAGCTACACAGTGAGCTCTAGGTCAGTCTCAACTACAGAGTAAGACCCTGTCTCAACAACAACAACAAAAAAATCTTAAGTATGTGTAGCCCCATCTGAGTCATACGCTCATTCGGGGTGGGGGGCAAAGGCAATGTAGTTAATGGTCTTGCCAGACCAAGGAAGGGAGAGGAGCTCTTTCCCAAAGGAAGATGTTACTGCTATCAGAAGTATGGGGAAAGGGGAGAGAGGAATGTGCATCATCTGGTGTGTGTGTGTGTGTGGCAGGGAGGGTGAGGGATGATGAGGTTGAAGGAAAAACACACACAGACAGACCCAGAGCTCTTAAGAGAAGATGGCAATGGGGAAGGCGAGTCCAGGCTTCTTGAGGGTTAGAAACACAGGGAACAGACCTAGGGTATATGGGAAGAAGAGATGGATAGGTAGCTCCACCGTGAGTCTAGATAAGCCATTCGCAGACCCTGAAACATGGCTAGGGAGAAAACTGGCTTGGGTTATTTCTAGTGTCTTGGGTCTTTGGGATGGATTTGTCAAGGGAGCGAAGGGATAGAAAGCAAATCACAAGAAGCAGAATGAAAGATGGGGGTTCCTTCAATATTGGGCCCTTCCTCTCCAAAGTCTCGGCACATCTGTGACGCTCACGGCTCCGACTCCAGGAAGCTGCTCCTAGCAGGAGAACTTGGTTTCACCGTGATATGAGGAGAGGTGGAATCTGATCCCTGGGTAGAAGCAGCAAGCATGTGAGCCACTGCATTGAAGGAAATAATGGTTATAGCAAGGGTTCCTCAAAACACCCATTTTCAAGCCAGAACCTCATACAGGGTCAGACATCAGCCCTTCGGCACCACATGCTCGACTCTGCCACCCCCACAGCCTTTCAGGCAGTCCTGCTGCCAGGAGGGGTAGCTGGCCCCCAGGAAGCTTTCAGAAGACTCTAGGAGCTCTGCTCTCAGGGGCTGAGGCCTCCGACACACTCCAAAGAGCAGTTTCTGATTATCTTGCTAGCGATCAAGACCTAGGAGAGGGAGCACCACCCAGAAGACAATGAGGAAGCTGTGGCCCTTGAGGGTGTGCAAAGAACTAAGTGAGAAAAGGAAGCCAGAACCTTGGGGTTTTGGTTGAGGCAAAGTTGGAGTAAGGAATGCAGAAGTACAGTTTCTGGAGAGCAGAGCAGAGCAGGCCTCTGCCTCCCGCAGAAAATCTGGGCTACCTTGGGTTGGTCCTATGCCTGTACTGTGTGGCAAGAGTTTCTCATCTGCAGATGTAATTGTTGCTATCATATGCTAGATATTGGGGATTTTACAGTTTACAAAACAGGCCTGTCCCTGGCCTGCTGAGACCTGTGTCCGTCGAGAAACGTGAAAAGAGTCACTTTCACGTGGTGCTGGGAAGGGAATGAACAACCAACCTGATAATCAGAAACATAGTGAAGGAAGGGTTCAGGTGACATCGGAGTTGAGCTCTGAGCAAGGAGCCAGTTGTACCAGGAGCTCGGAGGAGGGCCCTGTTTGGAAAGAGGACTTGGCATGGCGGAGAAAGAGGGAAGGGAGAGGTCAGAGATCAAGGGGAAGAGCGGTCGGAGAGAAGGTGAGAGAGGAAGGTAGGGCTAAAGTGTGCTAGGCCTCTAGGCCGCCAAGAGAGGGTTGGATTTTATCCTCTGGGCAGCGGGAAGCCGCTGGCGAGTGTTACCACAGAGGTATATGATCTTACATTGTAACAGGTCACACTGGATTCCAATAGAGAAAATGAATTGAAAGATCCAGTGATGAAAGAAGACACAAGGTGGCCAGTTAGTGCAGACGCCCCAGGGTTCCGGACCAGTGGGAGGTGTTTTTGACAGTGGAATCAACATTGGATTTAAGGGGAGAGGAAGTAGCCCAAAGCTGAGCTCACAGGTAAAGTAAGAGCCGAAGTTCCTGCTTCTAACACACACGTACACCTATTTTCAGTCTATCTGGTGTAACAGGCTCTCTGCCTGATGCTTCTGAGGGAGTGACCCTGCTTCATCATTTTGAAGTCCAGATTCTATGAATTTTTACTTTATTACAGTAGCAACACAGGGGCTCCTGGACTGTTTCTCTTCTACTCCCTTACACCTCACATCACGGTTTCACACCACTCCTAAGGGCTGGATAGTCCACTTGGGCACGAATTTATGGTGGCGAATGACGGGGGTCTGTTTTAAGTCTGAGATTCTGAGGACCTCCTCTTGGAGGAGAGGGGCCCTCTGGAAGCAGCCAGACACTCGCTGAGGACAGAAACCACAGGGTCAGCCAGAAGAGCACACTCTGAAGGGATGTGGAGCCCACCCCAGGGACCACAGGACTAATCAAAGGTGAGCAGAAGGGCTGTCTTCTTTCTCCGTGGCAGTGAGGGAGCAGTCACGTCACCTATTGGAAACACAGGTCTGGACCTGCATCCACACCCAGGCTCTAGATCAAGCACCTTTGAAACATGCAAGACACAAGATCTCAAATTTTAGTTGAGGGTAACAGCACTTAAAACAGGGACAGAAAATCCAGGCATAGTGTGTACATCTGTAATCCCAGCACTCCAGAGGCTGAGGTAGGAGGATCGCCAAG